AGTTGTAGCTTAGAAGCCCATTGCATATATACACCTTGTGATAGGTTTAGGGTTTTTAGTTATTATTGGTATAGATGCTACAGGCTTGTTAGTGATTTCGGTCCTGTCTTACCCCATCTGACTATATTAGATTATCTCTGCCTTTTGTAAAATTTTGTGCTACGCCTCCAGAAAATCTTCACAATTGCGCAGTTTCCTGAATTGTTATCAAACACTTGGTCTTGTTTAACGTTATTTAGAAAGGATAAACATAGATATTTCGAGTTCTTTTTTGAAGATCAAGCTATTATATTTTTTCCAACCTAAATTTTGTTGTATTTTAAAATGTTGTTGATATTTCCTTCCAAACTTTTTGCTGAAGGAGATTACTTAAGGCAAGAGTGATGAATCTGATTCTGTGATTGAGCTGGAGGCAAATCAAAGTCTGTCCAGTCAGCCGACGTCACCAGCTACAGCTAGTATGCCGCTGGATGTAGGAGCTTCTTCAAGTGGAGCGCCCCTTCTCACTGGGGTGTCTCTGCGCAGTGGCGGCACCCGTCGGAGGAAGCGTGCGACCTTCGACGGCCAAACTTCCCGACCTCAACCCCACCCCGGGCCCTGGCCCGGGGTACCTTGCGTCCTGGGCGGCGCCGCCGGCGGGGGATTCGTCCCTCGTTTTTTCGACAGAGGGGTTCTATGTCCCGGCCATCGAATCCCTCTTACACTTACTCGCCGGGGACATCGAGTCCAATCCTGGACTCATCTACATCTGCTACCTGCACTAGACGCATCAAATGTACCATTGGCTCCATTTGCTGCAATTCCTGCAGCGAGTGGGTCCACCTTCGGTGCACTACACTCCCTTCACTTACCCACTACACAAGCGACTTTAAATGCACCACTTGCCTATCCACAATCAACACCACAAACACTACCTCATCACAAACCTATACACCACAAGCACATCCCCTATCCCAGTCAACCCCACACTCAATACCACCACCACCCCTATCACCACCACAGCAACCCACACCTTAGATTTTGTACAAGATCCCTTAATTAATTTTGTAGAGAAATTGTTTCATTATCCTTTCACTTAGATAGTTACCTCTAAATTCATAAGCAGACAACGAGTTTGTCTCACCCGCTAGAGACACATGGTAACAATACATAAGAAAGTGGTTTAAATCTTGGGTAAATGAGGAAATTAAAAATGAACTAATTCTAAAAAATCTCTGGTTTGCAGTGTGGAATTCTGTATAGGTAATATATTCTCATGTCAATATAAGAAAACGTATCAAAATACCAACCCTACCACTGCGTTACACCACCTTCCACTGCAATGAAAATTGACAAACTGAGCTCATTTGAAAATCGCGCATGGTTTGAAATCCAATCCCATGTTGCCAACGACTAATCAAGTTAATTAGTCGTTTATCTGTAGGCTATCGGACACATTTTTGCAATGAATACATTCTAAAATAAAAAAAAAAACACATCCAGCTTCGTAGAAAATTCTCACAATTGGACATCACCCACAAAGTTTTTGATTTCACACAAAATTATGAGATAAACTTCAACTCTTTCACTGNTTTTTATAAGTCTAATTTTAATTGTTGAGTGATAGGTGCAGGTTTACAACTTCCAAGTGATTAGGTACTTTATAGAAACTGAGCAAGTTAAGCCTTAAAGAAGTTCATTTTTTGCCTCAAATAACGATGTTGGATAGAAGAAGTGGTCTTGGTGGATCGAAAAAATATATGAACCTCCGAAATTAGAATTCCATCCTGATTATGGAACTTGGAAGTGGAACCAAGTGAAGTTAGCTATAATTTTTCACATTCAACGAAAAAGAAATATATGAATATATTTTATTATTTATTACCATCACAAATGATAATATTCTCACAAGGAACCAAAAAAAGTTCAGAAAATAATTCTCGGCAATCGGCATTATGATAGAAAAAGTAGGTAACGACCGTAACGTCAGCCGCCAGCGGGCCGGTCAGCCTCGTCAGTAAGAGTAAGTCTGAGTGTCTGACAATAGAATATGATCTCAATATACTCACCATCAAGAAGGGCATCAATTTCAGAATCGTTTTCTTTACGAGAAGAAACATGTTCGGGTTCAGACATCGAATCTTCTTAGATCTTATTAAAGGTACCTAATAGGCTACTGCACTGTTCAGGGGTTCAGGACTTCAGGCAAGGTAAAAACTAAAAATTAACTAGAGTTACTAGACTACGAGACTTCCGCACTCGCGGAAAGTAGGTAACGAAATCCGAATTCAGGAATAATTTATAAAAGTTAAAATGATATTTTTCATCTTTTTTCGAAAATTTCAAACATTCTTACATTCTTCAAGTGCATTTATAAGCATTATTAGGCATATTGGAAATATCGAATGAAAACCTCAAAAAATACACTCAGACAACGTGTGTGATTTAACTGTAGTGACTCGAATTATATCTCGCATTAGTATTTTTGTTGAATGTCATCATTAATTTTATTAAACCTTTAAACTCATGATTATCGACCTCTGTAGCAATATCTTACTTGATTATCTTGAACGCGATTGCTTATTTCGGATTTAATCAATTTCATTATCAAACCATTTTAAAAATATCCAGTCAGTAAATCATCAACTTTCGAGCACTAATAACGCTCGTGTAATCCCTGAATGATAAAAAATAGTTTAGTAAATTTCAAAACAATCGTTAACAGCATATTGTGAATTTTGTTAAGAGCCCCAGTGGAAAACCAAAAACCAAAACCAAAGTTGAGGAGACCTGCGTTGAATTGCGTATTGCACACTTTTAAAGATGAACAGATATACTAAACCCATGTTTTTAAAACTATTGCTTATGCTTATTGCTTAAGATTAAAGATTATGAAGCTTCCAAGCCTCAGTTATCGACGTATGCGTGGGGAACTCATTGAAGCATACAAGTATACTCATGGCTCACACAAGGTCCCCGAAGGATTACTAGAATTTGAAACATGAACCAACACCAGGGGCCACGGTTATAAACTAAAAAAACTGCGTTGTAACACATCCACGCGACAACATTTCTTCTCGCTTCGAGTCACCGACATGTGGAACAGCCTCCCTGATAGCATAGATTTTTTAATCAAACAAAAATTTATGACATTCGAGCCGCGAGATTTCATACCTACTGAAATTATATATTAGAACCGTGATATTTCAGACAAAAATAGGACTTTTCCAGACTAGCGCGAAGTGAAGTGTTTTGAGAGTCACGTGAAGCATAGTGGCAAAGCAGAGTTTTTTAGACTCTTCCTCAAGTTCATTTTTGAGTCCTATGAGTAGACCAGTAAAGTATCTTGGATACCAGAATTATCATACATAAGAAATTGTTAAAATCTTGAGTAAATGAGAAAATTAAAAATGAACTGATTCCAAAAAATCACTGGTTTGCCACTATGACGTGAAGGCAACAGAACTTACGTAACGCATACGGTTTTTTTTAATAGTTTTTCATTTCTTGATGCGTCCTTAATGATTAACTTAATGTGTTGGAATATACCGCGTTTACCCTATGTTAACTAAAATTTTTGGACCAAAAATAGATCGGAGGTTGATCAAAAATAATATATGAACCATCATTTTTAGCATTCCATCATGACTGCAATAGTAGCTAACAGAGTAAACGAACTGTCTGTAACAACAAGGAATTAGGCTAACTGAGATAGAAAAAGTAACGTCAGCCGCCGCCCGCCAGTGGGCCGGTCAGCCGTCTGTAAGTAAGTCTCAGTCTCACAAATCGCAATTACACAATAGAATATGATCTCAATATTCTCACCATCAAGAAGGGCATCAATTTCAGAATCGTTTTCTTTACGAGAAGAAACATGTTCGGGTTCAGACATCGAATCTTCTTAGATCTTATTAAAGGTACCTAATAGGCTACTGCACTGTTCAGGGGTTCAGGACTTCAGGCAAGGTAAAAACTAAAAATTAACTAGAGTTACTAGACTACGAGACTTCCGCACTCGCGGAAAGTAGGTAACGAAATCCGAATTCAGGAATAATTTATAAAAGTTAAAATGATGTTTTTTATCGCTTTTTTTCTTAAAAAAAACTTTAAACATTCTTACATTTTTCAAGTGCATTAATAGGCCATATTATTGGAAATATCGAATGAAAACTTCAAAAAATGCACTCAAACAATGTGAGTGATTTAACCGCTGCCAATTTCAAGTTAATACAAATAAAAAATATGTTATAAGATTCATCCTTCCGGTCAAATTGAGGAGAGCTGCGTTAAATTATGTATTGCACACTTTAAAGATGATCAAATGTACTAAACCCATATTTTTATAACTTTTGCATGTTTACATTTACTATCCGTACCGTGCTTCACCTATACTAAAAGGATAAATTTCAGTACAACAGTACAAATCAGGGCACATAAGCAAAGGCTTCAATTGTTATTTAAAATAATGATATCATTCTCACACATATATGACCTAAAGATTGCTTACTGCATGTAAGCAATGCACTGTGTAGGGGAGACTAAGCGCTTTGAAATGGTTCCATGTCACAGGCAAGCGTGACCGCCTTTTGATGTAACGAAATAAAATGAAGCGATTTTTTATATATGTCAACATAGTCAACCAAAAAATCTTTCTACAACCCCATCCCAATACTTAGAAAATATACTCGCAACACATGGTGTAAACTCGTTATCATGTACTCGAAGACCTTGGCCTCTTTCAACACAGTTGAACACTTGCACAACTTTAAATCTCACTGACTAATCACACGAAGTAATTTCCCTCAATGCAGGATGTATGTCAACCCTCAACCCAACTCTGGACCCCTTTCCACAGCAGCCTGCGTCCAACGGGCCGAATATAAGATTATTATTAATTTATTGCATGTGGTGCAGCCTGACATGGAGTGAGCAGAGCGTGCAGCCCCAACTGCTAATGAGCAGCGCGTGCAGCCCCAACTGCTAAGTGCCCTTCAGTTAGTTCAGTAGCGCAGTGGACGCTGTCATCGTCGGACGTGTCTCGCCTGCAGCTCCAGCCTCGTCACCAAACTCCCTCCTGAGGTGTTCAGTCCTGCACTGGAAAGTCGGCATTAGGCATCATCGTCGGTCACGCTGCTATCAGGTTGAAACTTTTAGGGTAAAAATTAGCGTATCTGCTCAATTTTTTTAATTTATTAATTTTCTTGTTTAAGCCACATCTATGGATGATACTGACCATCAGTTTCTTTATCAATGTTTAATTGCATTCAGACGTTTCGTCGTCCCTCCACCCTAAGTCGTATAATTGATTAAGAAATTTAAATTACGATGTGTTACCTGATATGTTTGATTTTGTATTCGTAGCAATTGGTGTCATGAGCTTAATAACAGTTAAGTAGATTATGAGAACCATTATATAGATTATGAGAACCTTTCACGTCCCAAATACGTAGAGTTCTTAATGCTGACCTCTTGTCGCAAGAAAAATTAAATGATGTAGTGATTAATGACTGATTTATGAGCAGAAAATTTAGCAGTTTTAACACATTGAGTGCGACACACACACTATAGCGCTGTCAGATGAAATAAAATCGCTCAAGTCCGTGGAGAAAAGGGCCTATAATTCAATAATATGCATTTAAAAATTACTTTTTAATGACAACACTTCTGAACAATCCAGTGTCTTGGATGTTACACATGTACAATGAATTTCTAATGTTATTTTCCAATATTAAAAAAAGCATTTTTCAAATTTTTTTTTCATATATTGAAAAAATTATTTTTCAAAATTTTTTAAGATATCAAAATTTTGTACGTTACAAAAATTATTTATTCTGTCAACTGATCCATGCATTGTCTCTGACTTTATGCAATTGTGACAAATTTCAGATCGATTGGAGAGGTAGAAGTGTGTTATATATGGATTATAAGATTTGTAGCAGACGAAATTATTTTTATTTTTTTTTAATATTGAACAAAAATTTTTTTAATTCTTAAAATCATTTATTCTGTCTATTGAGTCATGCATTGTCTCCAACTTTACGCAAGTGTGCAAAATTTCAGATTGATTTGACAGGTAGAAGTGTGTTAAATATCGATTATAAGATTTGTAGCAGACAGACAGACAGACAGACAAACAAACAACAAGAAGTGAAGTTAAAGAGAAGTGTCATAAAAATATACTAGTAAATTTGTAGGTTCCCGTGCATAAATCAAATTTTCCTTTTTTCCGTAATTTTTTTAAATTTAATAAGGTAGTCATGTGATCAAGAATTCTTATCGACAAACGTAATTGAAAAAAACTAAATCGCAGAATTTGTCCGGAAAAAGACATCGAAGAGTCGCGCCTCGTCGCAATTCCTGAACACCTTAAACGCTGGAAATTTTGAGGCTGAAATTCTGACAATTTTTAGAGCCTAAACTAAACTAAGGCAATTTCAGAGCTGAAAGTCAGACCACTTTTCAGAGCTGAACGCAGGCAGTTTATGAAGTTGAAACTCTTCCAGGTCATAGAGCTGAAACTCTGGCAGTATGTTTTTAGCTGAAAATCGGGCTGTTTTTTACAACACTTCTCTTTAACTTCACTTCTTGTTTGTCTGTCTGTCTGCTACAAATCTTGTAATCAAAATTTAACACACTTCTACTTATCTTATCGATCTGAAATTTTGCATAATTGTTTAAAGTTGGAGACAATGCATGAATCAAATGTCAAAATAAATGATTTTAAAAAGTAATAAAAAAATTTTTTTTTTATATTAAAAAAATTGAAAAAATAATTTTGTCAGCTACAAATCTTATAACTGATAATTTTTTAACGAATTGCAGTGAATTATTACGTAATGCATTCAATAATCTAGCAAAAGTTATAATAATTTTCGCTGCAAAGTCTGGCTCTTGGTATAAATTTCGCAGAACTGCAGTCTGAAAGCGTAGCAAATATAGAGTCTTGAAATGATTTAGCATAGATTCAATCAATACATTCAATCATCGTTGAATGATGATTTAGCATAGAAATGTCAACATTATTCAACTATCAGTGAATTCCTTGCTCTGTTTACTAGCTCACACATGACCAATATCGGTTAGGGTAAATATGGTGCCGAAAAAGTTATTATTAATCACTACCAATAACTTACTAATCAAGTTATTGGAATTGGCTTAGTTTGATAATGGCGAGAGGAATGGCCTTTGTTCACATGTCTTTGTACCCTGAGGAGACCGCAGGGTCCCCTCTAGTTTGTTCTTCATAAGAGAAGCATTACATTATTGCACGTGTGATAAATATTTCACTATACACTAATATGCATTGTGAATCATTTCATGAGTACAGTCGTAGTTTTACCACCGTGCCCTTACCGCGTCGCAGAGCTTAGAAACTTTCGTTCCATACACCGTGATTAACCTGCTACGGATAACTTGTGAGCTACATTATAAGCTATACCATAATCTATACCGTAAGCTATGTCATAAGCTGTGCCGGGTTCAGCCATGAAGTCTCACGACTAACTTTCTCAGCAGAGCCTGTTTATCATTTAAATATTAGTCATTATTTAACAATAGGTTATCTGAATATAGCTGCGAAAAATTGTCATCTTTTTTGCAATTAAAGTCTCGGTTCTTATATAAATACCGTCAACAAATTTTCATGCAATTAATTTTATGTAATTATAAATCGCGTGGATGAGTTCAGTTTTTTATAGTTTGGGCAAAAGCACTTTTGTAAATAATTTTAAAAATTGCCTGCAGTTCGGTCGCCACTGTAAGAAAATTAAGCATAAATATCTGAGTAATAAATAAAACCTGAACACGAAAAAAACATTTTACCGAAGCAAAATTATCACATGGATGAATCTTAAATTGATTAAAACAATCGATGAATTTAATATTAAACTTCTAAACAAAACTGGGCCTTAATTAGCCACTTCAGGTCGCTTAATATTTACAGTAGCACGCCCAGCCCTTGACATGAGATATTGTCCTTGCATACTTAAGTTATGTTCAATGTTCATCTTGAATATTTTTATCACTAATTATCGATTTAATCGATTACTGCGAAGGAAGTTTCGACGTAACTTTTGGCGACACTCGTCCAAAACAAATGCACTTGTGATCTTAGGTTTGCAATAGTATTTTACTTATATACATTTGAATGATATTTTGTCAATTATATGTATAGCGACCATCATTAGTGAACTGGCTTCAAATTTTCTAAATCGGACTGTAGCCGCCAATGCACTCGTGATCTTAGGTTTGCAATAGTAATTTACTTATATACATTTGAATGATATTTTGTCAATATATGTATATGTATAGCGACCATCATTAGTGAACTGGCTTCAAATTTTCTAATTCAAATTTTCTAAATCGGACTGTAGCCGCCATTTTCCATTTCTCTGGATCATCATTAGTGAAAATGGTTTCAAATTTTCTAAATCGGACTGTAGCCGCCATTTTCCATTTCCTGGATTTTTCAGAAGTAGAATTAGTGTACTAGACGTAGTCAATTTCTGATGCGCCAGAGTATCGGTATGGGACCATAGATGCCTGTATAGTACCAGAAGAACGCAAACTATTCGAAACTGTAAAGTACTTTCTTATAGTCTAGTCCTTTGGACCTTTGTTTGGCTATTCCATTGCGTACGTCATGGAGAATTCGTTCTTATCCTGTCATGATGGCGTATCACTACCAATAACTTATTAATAACTTATCAGTACAATAGCCAAACAAAGTTCACAAAGGACTAGACTATAAGAAAGTCCTTTACACGGGCAATGTTTTGAAATGAACAATAAACACATTATAAGAGGTCAGTTAAATCTCAGGAACAGACTTCACAATATATGCTAGAAAATCTGTTATTTATAAGAAAACGGCTGCCGTGAAACTTGTACTCGTTTGAGCGAGTAATTTTGAAAGTCGAAAATTACATCTCTCAGTTTGAACCTAACAGTTCATAAATGTATTTGAATAAGAGAGAAATGATAAAAGATATAGTGAACTTCTCTGGGTTCAGCTAGACTGTTAAGAGTATTTCATATCGACGGTGTAATCATGCAAATTAAAAGTGTTTTTTTTATAGGTGCCGTAGTACTTTTCTAATGTTTTCAATTTCAAGCTTTTTCAATCCTAAAAAGGGAAAAGTGCATAGATATAAATATCATGGCTATGCATGTACTCGAAGGTTGTTAATTTATAATTGATCATTATTAATGAATTAAATAATTTTATTTGCCGTGTAAAACCACAATTCGCGACTGCGTAAAATTAATCAAACATCGTTATACAACAAGTAAGAAATGCGAACAGAAAGAATTTCCTAACTTTACAGAGCTGCTGTCAGTGTTATGACTGCGACACGCAACAGCGATGTGAGGGCTACCCTCGGTCTCCTCACCCTCATCTGTACGCTGGGCGGGACAGCAGTGGCTGATGTAGCGCCTTTCTCGCCCGACTGTACCGGTGAGTACTAATGTGTTTCTCGCCCGACTGTACCGGTGAGTACTAATGTGTTTCTCGCCCGACTGTACCGGTGAGTACTAATGTGTTTCTCGCCCAACTGTACCGGTGAGTACTAATGTGTTTCTCGCCCGACTGTACCTGTATGTACTAATGAGTTTAGACGGAAAATTTTCTTCCGACTGAAAAATGTACTAATGGTTGAAGTGGTAAATATGTTCATACAAAATTGTCCTAAAAATGTTTAGGCTGTAATAACGTTAGCGGCATTTTGTTAACCAATTAGCGGATTACGCGTGAGGAAAATTTCCGACTGTAAATTATTATATTGGATTAAATGACAAGCTCAAATTTTTGACATTTTTCTTATTATTTTGAGAAATTTTTCTTGGATGCAAGTTTAAGACGGAGAGAAATTATTATTAAGCCTAAGATGGAGAAAAATTAATAGCCATGCAGCTCAATAAATCAAACAATATAAGTGAATAATAAGCAAAGATTAATAAACTACAGCAAGGGTTTCATGTGATTTATTGACTCTTGGTGGCTTCATATCAAGACACATGGCGCTGAATTTATTACGCTGGAAATTCAGTTGACGTTGAATAAGTGGATGTTGAATACCTGTAGCTACAGTTTATCGAGAAATTAAGGGTAGGTTTAGAGATTTGTCGCAATATCCTGGGTTTGACTGGATAGTAAATCTTCATTCCGTAAGTTTTGAAGCCATGTTTTGGAATCTGCTCGCCGAGTTTTCTTAATCTAGTCGATCATTTAACATTATAAAATGTTACACAATTTCTTACCCCGACAAGAGTTGGAACGGTAATAAATGGCGACTAATGCATTTATAAACCTGATCTGATGTATCGATAAATCGAAGCTGTACGAATATTTAATGTTAGCGGAGGCATTGATGAATAGAAGTTTATGCGTCGAAAAAACGAGGTTGAAGAATTGATGCAATATCTAACCTTAGGTGCACGCTCTGCATCAGCTGCACGCTCTGCATCAGGTGCACGCTCTGCATCAGCTGCACGCTCTGCATCAGCTGCATGCTCTGCATCAGCTGCACGCTCTGCACCAAGTAATCATTTTCTGCGAAAATTGTTAAAATTGCTTTGAAATTTATTTCCTTATCAACCTGGATGGTGAATATGTTTATGTTTCAATATATTTCGGTCACTTTGATCCATTTTCAATCGTTTGCAATTCTTTTTTGCTGTCGCTCACGCTGAACTTTGTTCTTGAGTTATATTTGGTATATAATCATCAAAAATATCGTTTAAAGCGCGAGAATGCAACAAAATCCGAAATTCAATAAAAAATAATTGCATTATTACAAACGCAAACGGTTCGGTCATATAGAAAGATTTAGATTCAAGAACTGCAACACTGATTGCTGGATATTGTGCAAACACTGCTACACTGATTACTGGATATTGTGTAACACTGCTACACTGATTGCTGGATATTGTGCAGACACTGCTACACTGATTGCTGGATATTGTGCAGACACTGCTACACTGATTGCTGGATATTGTGCAGACACTGCTACACTGATTGCTGGCCACACAATCGGGCTGCTTTATATCAAAGATTAAGTGCGCGGTCATGAGCAAATTTAGTAAGAGAACAATAGAGGCATTACAGTAAATGAGAGCTCGTAAAATTGCTTTAATGGACAATGTTTCAGTAAACTGCATTGCATTGGGAACAAAAAGGCATCATTTGTCCCTAATATAAGGCTCCATGAAGCTGTCATTCGTCAACTCATAATAGTCTGCCCACGATTGGTCAACGAAAAATTCACCTGCTTTGTTCTTAGGAGAAAACTTGCATAAAACGAGTGCGCAGAAGCTGAAGTCGCCCAAACTCTTCTATCCATTTGCAGCAGTCAAATTTGGGTGATGATAAATTTCGTCCAACTTTCTCGGAACTAGAACGTACGTTATGTAAGTTTTAATGATACTTCCCCATGAATATCCAGGGTTGCAGTCGCGGAATGACAGAGTAATGATACTTCCCCATGAATGTCCAGGGTTGCAGTCGTGGAATGACAGAGTGAATATTTTCTTATCAAATACCCAGTAATAAAATAATTAACATTAGTATTTCTTTATTCTCATGAGCGTTGCACACAATGGAGGGCAGGCTGCAGAGGGTCAATAATTAAACAATGGCCATCGCGGATTATCATATTCATTTTTACACGGCAAAACGCATCAAATTTTCGAGGCAATTAATTTGAATATTGTAGAATTTATATATGCAAATGAGGTATATAATTACACTAAGTGCAAGTCTCTCTCAAGCTCTATTTTTTTAATTAACGCTATATCCCATGAGTAGTCGATAAATATTAAAACAGTGGTAATAAATCAAAACTATAATTTGAATGCGTTAGTAGAGAGAAATCTTTGAAGTGAATAATTGGCTTAGATTCTAGTAAACGGGATGCTCAGTATAGGAAACATGCTCTAGTCAAGAATAAGTAGTCTAGAAACGTTATTTTCCCAAATGAATGTAGTTTTCTTAATTCACAACGAAATCATAAGGAGTTCTTACCAATTAATGTTCTGGTTTAGAGACTTTGCACAATATAATTATTTACGATTTTATTTATTTATATTGTAGTACGACCCTCTCTGGATCTGGTTTTCAATATCAATATGTTGAATTTTCTTGGCGTTTTCTTTGCTTTTAAATTCCTTGTGAACTTGCGATATAAACAGACTGATAATATAAGTTCTCTGGATCAAGGTTCATTAAAGTAAACCATGAAAGCAGTTCTCTACAAATAATACATAAATGATACAATCACTATTTGATTAGCCGGTAAATTATCTCATCGTAAATAGAACATAATAATTTTGCTCCGTGCAGGCTTTGATGCACGGATCGATAACAGATAACCAGGCTCACGGTTCAGTCGCGATAAACTTGAGCAAATCCATCGCCTAAGTTCCCGGCACAGCGAATCATGGCAACATTTAGCGCAGAAAGATAAATTTGCAACACTGAAGAGTTTTACAGCATGTCATGTTTTTATCGAAGCACCTAATGGCACCTGAAGAAGTTTGGTCGACGAGGTCAAAGTTGAAAAAGTAGTTATGGTCCGCTGTGTTATCAGGTAACGTTGACAACGCAGTAAACGTTAGAATCGCTTCTGCAATGCCGAATAATATTTTGTTAATAATTATTGGTATTGGCTGGTTATCTACCTCGTTCGCCAATTGACCGGTTATTCACAGCGATGAATGATTGGCTAGCTGTAGTATTAAATTAAACACTAATTGTTATTGTGAGAATAAATTGTTTGTATTACCAGCATGTTATTTCTAAATGGGAATGTTATTCACTAAATCATCCTGCTACAACATCTAATACTTTTCTTCTAACTCTATTTTAATGCTTGAATGGCTACCGATAGTTAGATTTCAATAATCCTTCTCTATAACGCGCTTAAACTTCCCGCGGATTCACTTCATCGCGGGTTTTCAAGAAACATTGATAAGAAAAATCATTCGCGGATACATGGTCCCCGGTCGTCGTATTCGTCACCTTCCGTCTTCAAGTCGTCGATATGCGAGTTGCTTCAACGTGAACATTAGTTGAACTTTGAGGCCCTGAGGAATAGTTCTCTTCATCAACGATGCTTTTCAGAGCATTGTGAGCGAAGTTTCAGTGCTTCGATTCACTTATTCAGCAGCACTGCTGGAACTTTATCGGGTCCTGGTGCAGATATACTTTGTACAATGAATTATTCAAGACCTTATAATATAAACACATGAATAATTACTATCAGTTGATCAATTTCCCATCTCAGATTTTAACTATCGCGGCCGATGCCTGGAAAGTAACACCCGCGATAGAGGAAAGATTACTGTATTTTTTGCGTTGTTTTTGGGAGAAAACTCATGTCACTCACCCATGCTCTCATGACGCGTTACCAGTGTTTGATCTAGCGTTACTAATGCTTACTGAAATATAACCTTGATTAACTCGTAGGTTATCCTATTAAAAATTAAGCCAGCGCGTATATAGTCGAGCATCGCGTATGAATGACCATCATGCAGGTGTTGATAAGACGGCACGCATGCGTGTAGTCTTATAGCTTCTACGTCAAAAATATCCGTACTTACAGTCATGATTTGCATGGATTATTTGCTGCTCGATGCTGTTCATTACATATGAAATCTCGCATACTCATTGAAAGTGTGTACACTTTTTGTAAATACACCCATTAGATGTGGGATATACAGGGTGATTCACTGAAACTTACTGTTTTGTATTTTGCGCCAAGCAGCGTGGCAAGATTATGAAGTTTTGTGTTCCGTTTAGTCAGTTGCCACTATGCATTGGACAAGTGAGCAGCGTGCGTTTACTGTCGAGGAGTACTTTTCTAATGACCGCTTTGCAGAGTTGTCTCTGTCTCAGACAACATTTCGCCGAGCGCCCCATCTCTTGAAATGTAACCTTCCTTGGCCGGACCGATCCCCCTATTTGGTTTCGTGCGATATTTTATTTGGTTATCTTGAGTCAATCATTTACAATGACCGTCTAAGGACCCTACCTCATCAAAAGAACAACATACGCCAAGCCATCGTCAACATACCCGTCAATTTGCTTCAGCGAGTTGAACTGAACTTCAAAAATCGACTAACTGAATGCATTGACTATGGGGCACTCATTAGTCCGATTTCATCTTTAAAAATAAGTGGTGCAAAAACTCGGGTAATATACTTTTCAATAAAACTATATTGTAATTAAATCTATACTTTTATCTTTTTTTATTGAGCTATCAAAGTTTCCATTAATCACCCTGTACTGTATAAATGCATTCATTGTAGTTGGGACCCTAATCGCTGCTGAGAACATACTACTTGATTAACGCTGAAGTTCTCGTTGCAGCAGCAATGTTTGACTGGAACAAATGAAAATTTTATAATTGAAGGTATAGTTAAGCGAAGTCATGAATGCGTGAAGCTCGGAATGCCTCACCTAGCTGGAGGTGCAAACTTTTCATCGAAGGTGAAGTTAGTCGGCAATCTCTGGCTCAATTCCAGAGACTGTGCAGCAAAACTTTTCTAATCAATGCGACCAGCGAAGGCTAGCCAGCAGTCCAGTTGGAAAGACTGCAATCAATTTTTTATCAAAACAGCTTGCTTCTGATGCCTTGTAAAATTCACCTTTATTATTGTTTTTATTTCAGTCGATTTCGGTGAGCCGTGCTATTTTAAAGCAATAAATACAAACGGAATAGCTATAACTTTAGTCTGAAATCGAGATCCATCACAGCTCAAAGCAACGAATTTTTCAATCATTAAGTTTAAGTGCATCGATTTTTTACTGGTCAACTGTACGCCTATTTCCAAGTCTAACATGCTTCGTATCTTGTGTTCTCAAAGCTTGAACAACAGTAAGCAACTATTACTTTTGGAAATTCGTCATCCGACTATGATTTCTTCATGTAGCCACCTGACAAATGAATCATGATTTTTCACTCAAATATTTTTGTGAGTTGCCGGAATGACATTTGAAATTACAAAAAAGCTTATTCCAGCATTATTTGGAATTCAATGTTCAACTTTTTGAAGTTAAATTTGTAATATTGATGTTATGCTTCCGAAGAAATATTTCGTATTCAATTATAAACCTGTAAACCAAACATGGTCCAAGATTGAAGCAATTAGAGCTTTTTTCGAGCCTCATACGCATATTGTAGCGTAGCGCGACCAGATGATGTGTGGGTGATGGTTAGAGTGTGGCATAGGTTATTTTTGGCACTCTATGATTACCTTGAAATTTTTGGTGCATGAATTTCAGCGTTATTTTGTTCAACGATCAATAAATATTAGGTTTCATATAGAGTAGATATTAAACTTCAATTGTACCACATTAAAATCTACTATAGCTGATTTTTAGCATATCCACGAAGAGAACATGTAATTCAGTTGGAGTTGTTTGGTGAACCTTGCAACATTAGTGGAACAATAATGCTGACATGCCAGGGTGTTGCAAATACGTTTTGTTTGTGCGAGAACAAGAAAATAGCAATTTTATGTCAATTAGACAATATATATGTCAATTTCACAAATTGTACCATAGTAGCTGAGAAGCTAAACTCTTTAAAAAAAACATCGGCCCCTGGAGTGACGCAATTTTTAGCGCATTTTCTCNAGTTATATTTTTTTTGTAAGGCAACAAACTAAGATTTACAAATATGTGCAGAAATGACATGAAGTTGATTGGAAAGAACGTAAAATATGCAGAGTTTTTGCACAGACAGTAAATCACAAAATAATTTAGATAACAGTAATTCGGGATTTTCCAAATTTTACGGTTCGATTGGGATAAATGTATTCGGAATAAGATATTTCCTTCACAAAAAATTATCTTACACGGCACCTATGCAATGCGATGAATAACTGATGAGCTCGAATATCCTACTCAACAATAACATTTGATTTCAATTTCTTTAGCAGCCAATAAAAAGGGAACAGAATTCTAAAATAAAAACATTCCATCGAAAAATAAAGAAATAATTTCTACAACAAAATTGTCGGGCTGGCAATCTAGAGCTAATAGCTTCTACAAAAGAGCGCGCTGCCAATTGACTGTAATAACTCGGCAATATTTAACTTCCATCTGTACTGTACAAATAAGTCGTCTTTCATTACAGCTCATGCACGCCACCTCACAAAGAACCATAGAGAAATACATGGTCATTTATTATTTTCTGATAGTATTTTCTTTCACTATAGGAGCCTCGTTCTCAAGATAAATTTAATTTTATGGTTGAATTCTTACTTAACACATCATTGTGCGGAAATGAGATCGTTTATTTAAAATTAAACGAATTATTAAATTTGCCGGCATTTCTCAAGGATTCCAATTGTTGGTTGGTTAATATTAACTCTCACCATTAAGAGCATTTGCATGGTTTCAATTGAACATTTATAGATGCTGCTCTCTGGAATCGATATCGCTACACCAGTATTGGACTTAACAGATCAATGCACGATTATTTTCTTCACGCGAGTTCAAGTCTGCAGTTTGATAAGTTCTTGCCTATACCTGCAATTAGCTCCAGCAAAATTCAGTACTAATCTTTCAAACTTTCAACCTTTGCATGTCAGTGTGAGAATGTAAACATATTTTATTCACGATAGCCCCGTGAATAAAACGCTTTTACATGCCGTTCTGCTGTTCAACTCTTAATTCGGGTTTGAATTGATATGTAAAAACAAACATTAAGTTATAAGATGTGAAAATTGACTTATCGATTTATTGATTAAGGTGAGTTCGGGAATGCAAAAAAAGTAGTTAAATAAAACTTCAATAGCTGAGCTATACCTATAACTAAACATTTAATTTATTGCCAGAAAATGTGGCCATTTTCTCAGATGTTCTTGACGACACTCGTAATCTTTAATTTTTCCAACGATTCAACATGCATTATAAAGATGAAATAACTTTACATCTCCCATTTTATTCGTACATACTGTCGATTTTAAAAATGTTGCACTAAATAACATACTGTCACTGTTACGATTCCCTCAATAATACTAATTCCTTACTAATACTATTACCTCATTAACAATCACGAATCGCTATTCTCGCCTGCAATTCTTCATAACGATTGTTCAGGCATTCAATCCGTATTAATGTCACTGGTTTGGTTGAATTATGCTTCCACCAAATGATTGTTCAGGCATTCAATCCGTATTAATGTCACTGGTTTAGTTGAATTATGCTTCCACCAAATGATTGCTCAGGCATTCAATTCGTATTAATGGGGCTGGTTTAGTTGAATTTTGCTTCCACCAAATGATTGCTCAGGCATTCAATTCGTATTAATGGCGCTGGTTGAATTGTGCGCAGACTCCGGTGCTGCGGTGGCCAGCTCTCCCTTCACCGCCACCTTCTGCCGCATCACCGACGCCCAGTGCCTCGAACTCTGCGCCGGACAGGCGGCCCTTACCTACACCCTCGACGTCGCTACTTACACCTGCACCTGTTCCAACGACACGGCAGCTGCAGATGCATCTGGCACTCCGAGCACTGGGTGAGTCTGTCACCTGTACCTGCTCCAACGACACGGCAGCTGCAGATGCAATTAATATGGCTATTAATTAGGAGTATCCGAAACGTTTGCTGTTTAAAAGATTTCAGAAAAATTTACTTTTTTTCATCAAATTTGGTGCACATTTTTCAGAAATCACAGATTTTTCAACATCAACAGATGAATTCCATGCTAAAAAGTAATTGGTGAAGCTCAGGCATTCAATTCGTATTAATGTCACTGGTTTAGTTGAATTATGCTTCCACCAAATGATTGTTCAGGCATTCAATCCATATTAATGGCGCTGGTTGAATTGTGCGCAGACTCCGGTGCTGCGGTGGCCAGCTCTCCTTTCACCGCCACCTTCTGCCGCATCACCGACGCCCAGTGCCTCGAACTCTGCGCCGGACAGGCGGCCCTTACCTACACCCTCGACGTCGCTACTTACACCTGCACCTGTTCCAACGACACGGCAGCTGCAGATGCATCTGGCACCCCGAGCACTGGGTGAGTCTGTCAGCCCGCATCTGCTCTAACGACACGGCAGCTGCAAGTGCAATTAATATGGCTATTAATTAAGAGTATCCGAAACGTTTGGTGTTTAAAAGTTTTCAGAAAAATTTACTTTTTTCATCAAATTTGGTGCACATTTTTCAGAAATCACAGATTTTTCAACATCAACAGGTGAATTCCATGCTAAAAAGTAATTGGTGAAATCAATAACACCACAAATAAGAGGAAATGCTTTTGCGTGCAAATCGATATCTATCCATTTTTTAGCTAGCTACATCACTGAACGCTTATTCTAGCCATTTTTTCCCAGTTGAGATAAGTATTTTTAGTACTAATTTCAAGATGATAAGTAAAACAAAAGCCAAATGATCTGACACGTGACTGTGGGAATCCACTATCGTTCCCTAACCTTTACTTTCAAAAAAAGTTAAGAGATCGTAAGTTCATCAGCCAATCATTGACGGTCTTTCAAGCAAAATCCACCAATCATAGACAAGAAAATAGAGCGTAAGTACTTACGTTCACTTAACGAGTTTTGAAAGTATGGGCCCCTATCCCCATCGTGAGATAGGAAATGATGATTACTTTGCTGAAGTAATTGTTCGGAAAATATCGAGAATATTGTTGAATATAATCTATGTTGTAGAATATCTACAGCAAAGAATACCGATGTTGTAAGGGATCAGCACTTGGGTCTCAGTTGGCTTTCGCATAAGAAAAGATAATTTGACTCGGATTACTGAAATAAATAAAGAAAATTTTAATAAACATGCTCTAAACAAATGACAAAAAGTATAATGCTGAAAAGTATGAATAAATCGCAAACATCAATACACAACCATTCGAACCTAGCCAGTGTGCGTTCTCTGACGGTAATGGACGATTGTAAAACTATTCTCCGGCCTTTTTCACAAACAGCGTTATGTTCCTACACCGTATCAACTCTTCTGCCTTGCTCCATTTTAAAAGTATAAATGAGTAATTGCTAAACCAATAATTCCCATACCTGCAGATGAAGAACGATCAGTTTCATGTCAGGGCGAGAGGATCCGGTCGCCTTGTCATTTCTAACAACTTGTATTGCAATCCATGAGCGCATCCATTTCATCGCTCGTTTCTTTAAACGACAGATTCGCACACATCAATCAGTCCAATGTGTTTTCTGATGTCAATGCATACGCTACGAAGATCGACTACACCAGTCATGCCACTGTGCTTTTTATGGTTAAATAAATTAATCTTCCGTTCATAATAATGGAGCACGGTTGTATTAAGTAATTCAGATCGCTTGAATTTCAGTGAGGGAAATTCGTGGATCATTAAGATTTCTCAAAGTTGTAAATAAACTTTATACTGAAGTCTTCAATCCTTTACGATTAATTCTAAACAAACGCATGGATTTGATGTCGGGGGCAAAAAATGTTTGCCACAAATAAGATCAGTTGTTTTCCATATTAAACTGACCAAAAAATTGCAATTTTCATGTAATAAATTTATCCCGAACTACTCAGTTTAATAACTTATTATTTCCTATTTACCACATCAGCAGACTTATTATACCGCAGAAAGTCAACTGCTGATGTGAAGGCGTCGGCTGGATGCGAGGATGTGTACATCAATAAGAAGCTCTTCGTGCAGGCGCCATACCTAACCCAGCACGGCTACCTCATCTGCGACATAGAAGGTGGGCTACCGCATGTAGTTAGATTACTTTATTCTTGTTGGTTAATAATGCTCCGTTCAACAATATAGTTGCTTGAGTCAATGATAGAATGATTTCGCAGACTTAAATGAAAGTATTTTATTAAAATCTGATGTGCATGTGTGCGAGTGGAACTTGTAGCGTATAAAAATATGTAAAATAACGAAAATTAAGACATAGGTATATAATTCAAGTTAAACTTGTGCATAAAATCAAAACGTACTGGTCCTAATGTTAAAAAAATTACTCTTTGCTTTAAGAAATTACATAGGAATTAAGAAGCCGTCGCAGTTTAGCTTTGTAGTTGGGAAATTCAAGGCTGATGGGGCACTTATAAATATAACAGATTGCGTCAATCAGTCGGCAAAAAGGTAAGTAAGAAAGTATGTTGAGATCGAGGACAATGAAAAATACTGTCATTTATTACCGGGATATTTGCCCCAACACAAATCGCCTAAAAAAGAATTGGCCATAAAACATCGCGAATCAATAATGGTCAACTATTTTATGCTGAATGACCATCTATAATCTGAGCAAGAAACCGTAATATTAGGTTGGACGAAATAAGCGAAACCCCTGACATTTTGGTGTCGTAAATTTTTAACATGTTTTAAACTATGAAAACGTAACATATTTTCATGTTTTATTGTTTATCGTTGCTGCTAATTTATATTTATCTTTGCTTTGATATTTTTAGTACATTTTTGTTTCTACAACCTAACCTATAGCCTATAAATGGCAAACCTCTCTGACTTCCAAAGTGGCCAAATTGTTGGTGCCCGTATAGCGCTAGTGATACAGTAACTTCCCGAATGCTTGAATTTTCTAGAGGTACTGTCTCAAAAGTAATGACTGCTTTTGAAAGAGAAGAAAAACGTCCTCAGCAAAACACAGGGCTGACCGAAATTCGAATGTCTGAGAAAGACCGTTGATACCTAAATCGAATGGTGAGGGACAATCGAAATACCGCGGCTGTTAATATTACTGCAGACCTCAATGGACACCTACAGAATCCAGTTTCCATAAAGACTGACCGCCGAAAGCTGCACGTACAGATCTGGATTCTATGGAAAAGCTGCAATTAGAATTCCTCTGGTGTCAAATACAAATGCTTCCAAGTGTTTAGAGTGGTGTTGAAACCTCCAGAATTGGTCCCTCGATTATTCCTCGAAGAATCCCCTCGATTATTCCTCCAGAATTGGTCCTCGATTATCCCCCAGAATTGGTCCCTCGATTGGTCCCTCGGTCCCTGACGAATCATCGTTTAACTTATTTCCAAACCTTGGCCGATTTTACGTTTGGAGACAGCCAAGACAGTCATTTATTCCCGACTGCCTCATTTTAACCGTAAAACATGGCGGGTGATCTGTAATGATCTGGGGAGCTATTTCTTGAACATCTGGCGGATCAATGATTTCTCATCATGGAACTATCAATATCCGTGACTATTTAGTAATTTTGGAGGACCAAGTTCACCCAATGGTTCAAGCACTGTTTTCGGAGGGGAACGCCATCTTTCAAGATGATAATGCCCAGCTCCACATAGCAGGAATTGGTAAAAAATGGTACGATGAACATTCTAATGAAGTTGAGCATCTCATTTTCCACCACAATCACCAGACCTGAATATTATCGAGCATTTATGGTCGGTTTTGGAGAAAGTCAGTTGTTGATTCCCGCCGCCATCGTCTTCAAAAATTCTGGAGGGAGTTTTACCTCGGAGAATTAAGGCTGAAATCGCCGCAAAGGGCTGACCTACGCCATATAAAAATAAAATTTGTTGATTTCTTAGGTGTTTCCCTTATTGTGTTTAACCTTTGTAGTTTGTCGGAGTTTGAAGCGGGATTGGTCCTTCTTTGTACCGCAATTACGCGATAATGATCGTGAAGGCAGATTAAATGCATGAATCGCTGAAATGGAGACAACGTGGCCTGAGGCAACGATATTCCAAATGAAATAATCCATTATCTTTATAACTGAATGAAAGTATTTACAATTTACTTCGAAGGCGTGCCATTGTGTGGTCTCCATGATACCATGAGGTGATGTGGTAATGAGGGAGTTAAATACTGAAATAAGGAAGTAATTTTGCTTTTATTCACATGAATGCAAATTTAATTTTAATTCAAAACTGCCAAGTCTCTTCGACCATCAATGTGTGCGTTAAATGAGGGCTCTTTGCAACAATTCAGTATATGGTTCTTCAACTCATCACGATGCCTGCATGGTGCCGTGATGGCTGTGATTGTTCGCGCCTGATGAAGACATGAGCGGGCTAGATAAACTTCACACACTGAAATCCAATTTAATTCCAGCCGCTTCTCTCTTCCTCGTCGCGCATATGTTGCTGAATGTGATCGTGAAGAAGTAAATGACTTACTTAAAAGATGCTACCATTTTTGCACGCAAAATTTCAGGATGACGTCTATCCGTATTGCACTATTATCATTTTGTTGTTACGACACAACACGAATTTGTTGTGCACGAATATTGTTGTTACGACATAAATTCATACAAATAATTGATTGAAATTACCGCTTGAAGATGGCATAGTTTTTCATTATACATGATGCTAGACAATTTTAGGAATGGTGCAGAACGCATATGACAATCGCAAGTGAACCTTGTTGCAGCCAATAACTTGTCATGACAAATGAGACCAAAATTAGCGTCCCGCAGGTCTCATTCTAGCCGCAATGTTCGCCCGACCGTCCAGATGTTCCAAACGCACTCAATTCGCACACTGACCGCCATTTGATCAAACATGGTATCTATTTTACCAGCTTGTGACGAGTCGTTCGGATAAATTCATGCCGCAAGTATTCAAGCCTGACGAAAATGAAGCGAGTCGCTCAACATTCACGACAGCTCAAATATATAAGCACGGACCATTGATGCTAATGCTATGTTCATCATTTCTTCACTGATCATCTATGATCATCTATGATCAGTGGCAAGGTGTTTCATGTATAGGCAATGTCGGCGAGACAGTAAGCAAAATGAACGTAGGTTTATCATCCATTTAATGTTCTTGTAAGCTCAAAAATTGGCAAGAGAAAAGATTTCTTACTCCAGGCATGGCGATAGAGAGTAAATGAGGCATGTCGACAAGTATATAGTTCCAGCGCATAGAATTGATATTCTAACTAGAGATTACATAGAACATATATTCGCCACTAAAACGATTACTCGCAGGAGTAGCGGCGTTCAGCAATAATGAAATAATTATTAAGCAAGGATTAAATGCCTAGGAAGACGCAGTGAAACCCCAGGAAGTTACAGTTATATAGTTCAACCATGGCTCAATTGATCGTGGGCACTAAAAAGTATTTTATTTGTGGATACAAATAAAATATTTTTATAGATCGTGCCCGTTTTCACAACACTTCTCTTTAACTTCACTTGTTGTTGTTTGTTTGTGTGCTATAAATCTTATAATCGATATTTAACACATTCTACTTGTCCAATCGACCTGAAACTTTGCACACTATCGCAAAGTCAGAGACAATGCATGAATAAATTGACAGAATAAATAATTGTAAAAATTTAAATTTTTTAATATTAAAAAATTGAAAAATATTTTTTTTAATATTTAAAAATAAAATAAGAAATTCATTGTACATGTGTAACATCGGAGAGACTGGCCTCTTTAGAAGTGTTGTCGTTAAAAAGTAATTTTTAAACCCATATTATTTTCCTTTCGCAAATCAATTACTAACTAATGACTCTGTTCAGTCTACAACGTAAAAGACGATTTCCGTTTCTCACGCTCTGAATGCAATGCTCGCAACTCAGAGGCTAAGGAAATAGAAACTATAAATAGTGAAATCATTTTATTTCTTAAAAGGCAAGTGAACAAAGTCTTGAAAAAAGAAAAGCCTCTACAATATTTAAATTGGGAGAGTTAAAAAAATCGTTTAAAATTTTCATATGACATTATTAGTGATTTTAATGCAATTTTACTCAATTCATTGCAACATGGCGTTGAAACGTGTTAATCTATTACATCCTGAAACGAGTTAATCTATTACATCCTGGCGCTGAAACGTGTTAATCTATTACATCCTNTGGCGCTGAAACGTGTTAATCTCTTTTTCTCTATTACATCCTGGCGCTGAAACGTGTTAATCTCTTTTTCTCTATTACATCCTGGCGCTGAAACGTGTTAATCTCTTTTTCTCTATCACATCCTGGCGCTAAAACGTGTTAATATAAGCGTTGTCTGTCACAGGTGTCGGTTTGTGTCGCGGCAACCTAATCCACGGCGCATCGGGCCACCTGCACCCCGACATGATCGCACAGAATTCAACGATGCTCAACGAACTCTCACCTTTCCTCGACCCTTCTGTCCATCCCTATTTCAAGGCAGACAATCCTTTCACAGTGAGAAAACTGGCGTAAATTTCACTCGCAGATACATTATTACACACATATTAATCAAGTCATTCATTCAACTGGAATGTTATGATAATAATAGTTAAAGAGAGTTGTTCACAGCGGCTGTTGAGCTGGACGAGTGATGCTCGATGGCGCTGTTTGCCGGATATATTTAGCTGGACTATTGTGTGACTTTTCGATGAATTACTTAGTTCAAGGCTGCTCAAGGTTTTTCTATCCGTAACTGGAAAAAGTCATTTATTCTTCAGGAAGTACATTTTTCTCTTTTCAATATTTTTTTCGTTCCATCTCAACATTCTAACTCTTAAGTAAAAATTTTCTATTTAAATATTGGCTGAAAATCATTTCTTGCAGAAACATAACGATTTTTCTATCAAGAAAAAATTTTGATGATGCTCTTTAAATTAGCCTTATTGCCGAATTTGAGGCATTTGAGGTAGATAGATTTGTTCATGTAAGGATATCATCGGTTACAAATATAGTTGTCCCAATTTTATCAGCAGGAACAGCCAATTTTTTTCAGAATCATTTCATTATACTATTTCGTCATTATTATCTAAGATGACCGGGGATGTTGTCCGCAGATACGCTTCAACCACTCTATACTCGTGCGATACATCGACGTATGGAGGCAGGACGAGTCTAACTACGTCTCCTCCTTGCTGGTCAACTACAACTATGACAACAACATCGTACAATACTACAATAACATCAGCAAATACGCATACTCGTGAGCACCCAATAATTCCATATAGAATGCATTAATTGTGCTAATACTTACGCTGCATATATTTGGATGAACACAGTATATGCAGTTGGGTAGAACGTTTTCTTCATGTTCATGGAATTCGGTCTCACAAAGGTACGGTAAAGTCGTGGAAGATCAATCCCTGGCTTCAACCCTATTTCAGACCCCTGGTTGATTCCTTCATGGTTCGAGGGTCGTTTGAAATTCAAAAAATGTGAATGAATTTCGTACATATGAAAATTGTCCCAAAAATCCATTTACCATTTATAGAGGTGGCAACGGGCATAAATCATTACAAAAACACGCAAAACGGGCAAAAATCATTACAAAAAATATATTTCCCGTACTTACTGCACTATCTTATCATCGTCATTATTCGAGGGTGATAAAAAATGTCAAAAATATTAGGGTATAGTTTATATTTCAAAATTTCCCCATAATAATACATAATACATAATAATACATACATAATGTATTATTATTTTAATACATAATAATACATACATAATAATACATAATACATAAGATCGAAGGTATGTAATCGTATTAATGCGCATACAGAGATACAGCAGTACAAATACAATCTATGGATTCGTGCTTATGTCCTTTTAGTAGAATAGTTACTATATGGTGTCGGCGTTCATTAGACCAATTATGGCCTGTCCCTGATTTTTGACCGTATTACTTTAGGGACTGATGTTCATTTCTAATCAACAAAATTTCAATTGATTCCATGATGATGATGTCCAGTAAGATATAATCTTTAATTGCGCTTGTTACGACACAGGTCCAAGCCCAGCGATAGCAGCGCGCCTGAAGCCATACCCGTTGCTTTCGGGAACGCGAGCTACGTAAGAATTCCAGTGCGCAGATTTGTTGCGCAGGCCATCACCATAACCGCCACCGGTGTGGGTAATCCCTTGTAAGTAAATTAATATAACTTATTACTCATTTACTTTAGTATTGTCTGCTCGTGTTGAAGCATGTCTGAGATTTGTCAACAGCTAACAATGCTGCGAAAAATTGCAATATACGTCTTAAATTAGTGCGATCAAGCACGATCTTAGTTCTCTGATAACTGGTCGTCGACATATGTACGAAAAGTTCATCACTTTCAATGGCCTTTTCATCTGTCAATGTAGAATAACTTTGATGATCATTAAATACCTTGGAAATAACATACTCACTGCAACAAAACTACTGAACATGAGAACATCATGGTCTATTTTACAATTTATATCAGAATCTTTAAACCTCATCAATGTGAACAATACTGAAATCCCAAATTCGCCCCTGAACCCGGTGAGGCTGAAGATGGAGCTGATCGGGTGCCGCTACGACGAGCAGATGGAGAGCAACCGCGTGGCGTACAACACCTACGGCTGCTACCTCTTCAGCACCGCGCAGGTCTTCCAGGAGCCCATGACGAAGACCACGTCTGCCACCGCTGCTTACACCTCGGGGGAACACGTCTATACTGACGCCATCACGGTCAGTGTGCAGTTATCACCACGTCCAGTTCTGTTTATCGTAGTTGAGCCTGCCTGTAGCGACGTTTTTAAGATGTTTGTAAGAAAACTGTGAAAACTGTCTCGCGGAATAAAATAGTTACATCGTGCAGATATGATCGCAGTTATGATTTCAACGTTGTGTCCCGTGTCAATCTGGCTTCTCATTATAATCATCATAATTGTATGTAATTGAGATTTAATATTCACTCGAACTGATAGAGATTGATAACGAGTCAACATCTGGAAGACACGTGATAGATCACGCGATCAAGACCTTAGTTGTGGGCGGAAGCGAAGCCTATAAAAGGGCTAGCAGCCTTTAGTACCTCCCCCTCAGTACAGCTGATAAACGCTCCGCGATGTAGCGTGCTGGTAGTATACTAGTTAGTTCGTTTACATAAAAGTATTATATTTGTTTGATTGTGAGACTCCGCATCATGCAAAATGTTTAATAAAATGACCGTATTGCTGTCCACATCAGATCACTGAAGAGCTTTACTACGGACCAAAGATAGCGTCTCTGCCGCTGGGCCGGGCGCCGGACCCAGCCTCGTGCTCCACCGTCAGCCCGCCGACCTGCGCCACGCAGGAAGCGGTCAGCTGCCTGTCATTTATAAATGACAATATAAATTAATTGATCATTTTTAAAGTTATACGATCTCAGGAAAATTGGAATTCAAGTGCTTTACTATAAACTTCTTAGATGAAAGTATGATCAGGTATATTGAGGTCAAGTGGTGTTATTTGAATTATGTTAATGAGTAGTAGTTAGAATATCCCAATTTACATGGTAAAACGTGAAACTCATTCATAATTGAAGTTACTTTAATAGTTTGTGTAAAATTTTAATTATCTTAATCCATTATTATTCTATAAGACGAATTTATCTCAACCGTGAAGGTGTACGATCATCATACAGGTATCATCCCATTCACCGTGGTTTTAAGTTTTCTACAACGTTTTATCAGCTTGTGTTATCAGGATACTGTACTGTACCACATCACCTACACTGTTAGAAAAAACGGTGAAAAACGGTCCCACTGGCGTTCTAGTGGCCGGTCGTCCTGTGAAAACAAACTGTTCCACCGTTTTTATAAGATGTTTTACGGATTTCTAGTGTTAAATTAGAATAAAAACGGCGACACTGTGTTTCTTTTCACGTGCCGACCGGCCACTGAAACGCCGGTAATACCGTTAACGGTTATTTTTTCTAACAGTGTAGGCGCGTTATTTGATTGTCAAGCTGCTACGCATTGCTAAGCTGAGCTATTAATTTGAGTCGTACACCTCATCAGTAATTAGTTGTGTTTGTTGGTGTATGGCAGATTATTATGGGCAACAATGGGACCATCAACTGCCAGCCGGCGTCAGTGGCAGCGACCATGGCAAGCAACTACTCGGTGGTGCGACAGAATCCTGGCGTCTACAGCAACGCCTCTGAGTGCGAGAAGGCGGCTCTTCGATCCTTCGGGGTTAATATATGATTCTAATTATTGAGCCTTCACCACTGTTCCTTCCGGGTTAATACATGATTCTAATTGAGCCTTCACCACTGTTCCTTCCGGGTTAATGCATGATTCTAATTGAGCCTTCACCACTGTTCCTTCGGGGTTAATACATGATTATAATTACGCCTTTACCACTTAAGTAACGAAAGATTTCGGTAGTAATGATGATAATATAATTAAAGTAATGTTTTCGGTAGTTGTTGAGTGCGTCAAATTCGTACATTAACTGATGGGAGAGGAGCGGCGCTATACAGTAGGCGTGATCGTGGTGCTTCTCAGTTGTGAAATTTTGATTCGTTGTCTCAAAAATTCGTTCAAAATTAAAGTTTGTGATAAAAAGTCGACAAAATGTTCCAATGTCTTCTTTAGCTCCTATTTTCAAGGCTACTAATCACAGAACTTCGAAATGGGAAATTTGATCTTTTTATTTCTTCAACTATACAATTTATTATCTGAAGAACCCTTCAGAAATTTATAGTTACTTTTTCGAACAATTTCTTGGTTTTGATGAGGCTTCAAAATTGGTTTGGGCCCAAAGAAATTCTTTTTAGGTTGTAAAAAATTAAATTTTAGATTTGATTGTTTCAAGCATTTAATTTAAGCGTTTATTTATTCCTAATTATTTCGCACAAATACGGCGAAATAGATATAATACACTGTATAATAGATAATACACTTGCTAAATAGAGATCAGTAACGCATTTCCTTGATTGAGGCCATTAAAGGTTGCTACAAAGTAAGAGGTGAATCGACCGCACTCATTAATTAGGCTGTTTATTTGCTGGCCTCGAACACACTTGAGAGTTAGCCGCACCAGCTGTGTAGACATCTTAGGACGAGTTCGAGACCTTTGCTTCTCACTGCATTCAGCCAGAGAGTGGCACCAGCAAAGCTCCATTTTCACAAATGAGACACATGCGAAGAAACACATTACTGTTGAGGTATATGCGAGATAACACATTACAGTTGAGGTACATGCGAGATAACACATTACAGTTGAAGTTAGGGTCTTGAGATTTATATCTCAATCCAGCTTCACAGCACAACGAAATTTGTTCATGTTTAGCTGCGCTCGTTGTGTTAAAATTCCCAGCATTCCGATAAATATTCCTGAACGATAAAGTGATCAATCCATGTTTGTAATGCATTAGATTAAACGCTTGAATTTTGTCAGGTCCTGAAACGCGTCATCGAAGGCAGCCATCACTCTACGTGTCCCAACCAAACCCTGGAGCTCTACAGGAAGCTCGTCTCGTACCACAATGAGTCCTATTACCTCTGCGTCTCGGTTCGTGCTGCTAAATGTTGTTGCTAATTTACTGTTGTTACCAAGTTTTCACGTTTCAGTGATTTTTCTATTACTAATATTGTTTTATCAGTTGATCGATAGGAAGATTGTCGCGCACTATAAGGAGTCCTATTACCTCTGCGTCTCGGTTCGTATTGCCTAATATACGAAATTTCTTGTTGTTTAACAAATCTTCACGTTTCAGTGATTTTTTTTTATTACTTATATTGTTTAATCATTTGATCGATGGGAATCTTCAGTTAATTTAAAGAAAAATAATTAATGACACTTTGGTAGAACTTGCGTACTCTAAAATTAATTTAAAATATGATTGGGGGTCTATAATTTTTAGAACAAAATCAAAGTTTTAACAAAAAATATGAATTTTTAGAATTATAAATCAACTGGGTATGCTGAAGAAAAAGTATATAGTTAGTGTTCATCACAGCATCAAAAAGTTACAGGGTACAATATAAATATGCTTCTTCTTCATGGAGGGATGTGATATGAACATTATCTTGTTCAGAACTTTCGATTTTCATATTGTGAACTGAAAGAAATGAAGAGATGTGATGTGAAAAATGTAGTGATGATTATTGTGATGTAATGTAAAAAAAACTGAAGTTAAACATTTAGCCTATTCATTTACTCAAAATGAAAATCTGTTAAAAGAACCTGACAAACAAAATTTTGTACATGATTCTTTTTAGCATTTGCCCAAAAGACTGAAAAACATTCTTGGAATTGAGTAGGAATAAATCTTATCTTTTTCTAGTTAATTTGCTCCGGGACAACGAACCTCGTGACGTCCGCAGACCCGACTTCCTCAGCAGACACAACTTCCACAGACACAACTTCTGCAAAAACCACCACTTCTGCAGGCACGACAACTTCAGCCGACACGACAACGTCAGCCGACACGACGACTTCCGCCGACACGACAACTTCAGCCGACACGACAACTTCAGCCGACACGACAACTTCAGCCGACACGACAACTTCAGCCGACACGACAACTTCAGCCGACACGACGACTTCCGCCGACACAACTTCCGCCCATACGACGACTTCCGCCGACATGGCAACTTCCGTCGACACAACTTCAGCCGACACGACCACTTCCGCCGACACCACCACTTCCGCCGACACGACCACATCTGCTAGGGCCACCACGTCCCTAAATACGACCGCGGCTCCAGACCTGAATCCGACAGATACATCTTCAGGCCGTAAACGTAAGCGTTCTGTGACCGATAGCAGCGGGAATCTAATCGATTCTGTTACCAACCCACCAGCCTTCGACTCTAATTCTACGTCAACCGATCTTGCATCAACAAATTCTACATCAACTTACCCTTCACCAACAAATTTTGCACCGACTGATCCTACATCAACAACGTCAACTACAGCTACGACGCCTGCACCGACTGATACTACATCAACAAACTCTACATCAACCTATCCTCCACCGACAAATCCTGCACCGACTGATCCTGCATCAACAACATCAACTACATCTACGACGCCTGCACCGACTGATCCTACATCAACAACATCAACTACATCTACGACGCTTGCACCCGACACTACGCCAGTAACATCCAGTGTAGCAGCAGGGAACGCCTCCAGCAACTGCACGCCGGTGGTCAAAGTCCCGCCGCTGAGCAGCCCTCCTGCCCCGGAGTCATCTCGCTGTGTCCCCGGCCCCCCCGCTGCTCTGTATGCACTGCAGCTGCGGTTGCCTTTGCTCGACGAGCCGCTGTGTAATTCTAGTACAATCATCGGACGCATCAACGCCATAGATGCCACTACTATTGGGATCATTTCTGAAGTAAGCTGTAGAATTCAACTCTTAAAAACGCACATTTGTGTCTAAATTGTGAAGTGAAATGCTTAATCTTGAAATGAGAAAAATGAGAGTCGTCTGAAGTACGTGGACATAATAAACAAAAGTTATAAACAAACTTAGAAACAAACATATGTGGACGTATAAATAAAATATTTGCAAAATTATAAGAAAAATATAATTTTTTGTTCGTGTCTTACAGCTCTGCTAACAGTTTTTAAGTAGGATCGTATAAACTAAATAATTCGAGGATATTTCATATTGCATATTGCATTGATATTTCATATTTCGCATTGCAGGTGTAACAGCTTTTAAGTAGTACCGTATAAACTAAATAATTCGAGGATTTTTCATATTGCATATTGTATTGATATTTCATATTTCGCATTGCAGGTGTAACAGTTTTTAAGTAGTACCATGGAAACTAAATAATTCGAGGATATTTCGCATTGCAGGTGTATCCCAGCACGACGGGGCCAGGTCGTGCCGTGGGTACAGAGGACCGCATCAGCTGCAAGTGCCCACACATCACCGCCCTGAACGCGTCCAACGCTGAGCCGCTGGTCTGTCAGCCTGACTTCTCCTACTACCCCAACACCTTCCATGGCTGCGTCTGTGAGTGGCGCGTTACAAATGTAAATATTTCATTATAACATGAGTGCAGCCTGACTTCTCCTACTACCCCAACACCTTACATGGCTGCGTCTGTGAGTAGAGCCTTACAAATGTAAATATTTCATTATAACATAAGTGCAGCCTGACTTCTCCTACTACCCCAACACCTTCCATGGCTGCGTCTGTGAGTAGCGCCTTACACATGTAAATATTTCATTATAACATAAGTGCAGCCTGACTTCTCCTACTACCCCAACACCTTCCATGGCTGCGTCTGTGAGTAGCGCGGTACAAATGTACTCAGTTCATTAGAACATGAGTGTACGTGAGTGGTTTTTGAAAAGGCTGTAATGCTGATGCTTGCACATATTGTATTGAAATGAAGGAGTTATCTAATGCTGAAGCTATTATCTTATCATCATCTCGAAGAGAACTTATGTTTGTTGCATGGTCTGTGGTCGTTCCAGTTGTGAACTGCAGCTCCTCGGTGCCAAGTGCTGCTCCCACCAACGGCACCAGGGAGTGGGATGGCTCCGTTCGGCACGACAGCTCCATGAAGTTCACTTGTCCTGCTGATCACTTTTTTCAGGCAGGTGTTTTTAGCGCATTTTCTCATTTATGGAAAAAATGCACTATTGTGCTCGCCATGTCCGTCCGTCCGTCTGTCTGTCCGTCCGTCTGTCCGTGACTTCACGTTTTCGTCGACGAGAAAATGCGCTTTCTGTCACTCACTGTAGTGAGTACTGAGTTATATTTTTTTCTGCTTGCGAAAGCGTCGCTGTCATTCGTGACGCATGATGACAATTTTCTGTAGTATTTCAACACAAGGCAAGTGAATTTTAGATGCGCTGGCACTTTTCATGTATTTCCTCACTTCAGTGCAACTTTCCATACATTCTATTTGGTTTTGATACCAAAATTTGAGGCAAACTCGAAATCGAAGTAAGTTAGACATTAGCGAATCATGATCCGTTGAAGCTAATCACATACTCGAAGTATCTTTTCCTCGAAGTATTGAAATTACTTCGCTTTAATTTACCTAATATGTACAAGAAAGTCGGAAATTTAAATTTGAACTGCTATTAAATGTGAAGTCAGGAAGTAATCAGTATGTAATCAGTGATCATTTTAATTATTTAATTAATACAAAGTGTCGTATTACTATTTTACTTAATTTGTAATTTCTCCCACTTGTCAAAGTTTGCCCAATTTAATGGTATATAGCGTCGTGATTCATCGTAACAAATCGTAACATTTCAGGCTTCCACGTACCCGGCCACCCTCTCTAGCGGGTGCGGCTGCGACATGCGCTGGACGTACGAGTCACCCAGTACAGACCGTCCGCTGCCGCCGTGCGTGTGTGAGTACAAGTTTGAATAATGAAGTTTTCAGTAACATTATCAGTAACAACGAAGTATTCGAAGTAACGAAGTATTCAGTAACATTATCAGTAACAACGAAGTATTCGAAATAATGAAGTATTCAGTAACATTATCAGTAACAACGAAGTATTCGAAGTAACGAAGTTTTCAGTAACATTATCGGTAACAACGAAGTATTCGAAATAACGAAGTATTCAGTAAGAAGTATTATCTCAGAATAATTTCTCATTTATTCCCCATAAAAGTGCCCAAATCGTAACATTTGCTACTTCTCGATACAAGTTTTGCAATTGTGAAACACTGACTTGAAAGATTTAACTATAAAAAATAGGAAGCTTTTTCCGAACATGTTGAAAGCTCGTTGAAATATCTTGAAGGGAAGAAAGGCAAACTTTCGATTTCATTTATTAATCGAATACATGATATATGCCAGCAAGTTGTGATTTAATTTTCATTATTGTTTCTTTTTTAACCAGTCGAATTAAGTTCAAAGTCGATATCAAGTAAAGAAAGAATCAAGCCCCATTCATTACAAAATCTTACTGAAAACTAAAACCACTACAATTAAATTCTGAGAACAGGTTCCATAGAAACGATCAAACCTTGTACTTCCTTGTGCCAAATTCTCAAATTATTTAACTTCAATAAAAAATAAAAATGTTAATCCACACAATATATACCAAATGATTGTCAACCGTTCATTTAGTGAGGCATAATCTGTGTAAACAGTTTGAACTATTGTCTCGAAACTTGATGGAAGAAGTGTAGTTTTAAATTCAGCGTTTTCGTCAATATGGAGAATAAAAATACAGCACAAGAAAATAACAGGACCTGGTGCAGTAGAAAATCCCCTGACAATTTGTTACAGTGATGTGCAAAGTCCCGGACCAGACGTTGGCACCTCATTTACGTTACAACGGCCTGACGCAGCCTGACATGGGGTACGGCGCGCCTGCTTCACCGTATGCGCTGCCCGGCGCTCAGGTCGGTCATGTCAAGAGCCTGTCGCAGTCTAATGAGCTGCACTATCCTGGTAAGAATAGCATTATGCGCGCCCGAATTATGCGCGCCCGTACATAGTGTTCCGCTATAGCAGATATGAAGCAATGTAAAGGAATCACTTGAATCATGTCTAGAGCTCGTCGCAGTCTAGTGAGCTGCACTATCCTCGTAAGAATAGCATTATGCGCGCCCGATCAAAGAGTTCCGGTATAGCAGACATGAAGCAATGTAAAGGAATCACTTGAATCATGTCTAGAGCCTGTCGCAGTCTAGTGAGCTGCACAATATTGGTAGAAATAGCATTATGCGCGCCCGTACATAGTGTTGCGGTATAGCAGACATGAAGCAATGTAAAGGAATCACTTGAATCATGTCTAGAGCCTGTCGCTTCCTTGTGAGCTGCACGGTCACGGTGCTGCCGCAGTGTCAGGCTGGAGGCACCTGGAGTCTCAACATCAGCGATCCCGCGCCATGCATAAGTGCGTGTCTCAACCATAAGTGCTATGCTGTCACTGCAAATATACTGGCAGGGGAATTTGCAAATATACTTGTTAGGGGTCTGCTATTGTTATCGTAATTGTACATTTTTGTACAATTGTACAACTGTAGAAACAATTTTCATATTTTATTGCATATTTTGTCCTAAATGTAGGCGTAATTGATATTTTTAATCTTATTGTGATAATAATTATACAAGTAGAACCTTTATATCGAGATACATTCAAAATCCTCGACGATTAAAATTGGCTGTGATTGATTGCGAAGCCGAAAACGGTTGCGTCTTCATACGTTCTCATCTGATATTTTTGTTCCAACAGTCACAACCACAACTGAGGCATCAACCACTTCCACTACCACTTCTCAACCTACCACTACCACATCAACATCCACCACCACTCCTCAACCTACCACGACCATAACATCCACCACCACTTCTCAACCTACCACAACCACCTCTCAACCAACCACAACCACAACAACATCCACTGCCACATCTCCAGCCGCCACAACCACAACATCCACTACCACATCTCAACCCACCACGACCACGGTCACATCAACACCAACAAGTCAAGCTACTACTTCAACATCAACTTCCACAACAACTCCTATCACAACTCCCACCACAACCACTATCGGCACAACCACCGCAACAACCACGGATGCGACTACCACTGCAACTCTTACCACCACTACCACAGCGGCAAGTAACCCTGCGGCGACCACCTCCATTGCTGGTGTCACGAGTGTGGTGTACCCAGGTAAACATGGTAGAGTGTGGTGTACCCAGGTAAACATGGTAGAGTGTGGTGTACCCAGGTAAACATGGTAGAGTGTGGGGTACCCAGGTAAACATGGTAGAGTCTGGTGTGCCCAGGTAAACATGGTAGAGTCTGGTGTGCCCAGGTAAACATGGTAGAGTTTGGTGTACCCAGGTAAACATGGTAGAGTGTGGTGTACCCAGGTAAACATGGTAGAGTGTGGTGTACTCANGTTAGCATCACTATCATATCATCTATCTGTAAGAATTAAAATTATTTGATATTGTGGCAATTTTTATATATTTCTTTGCATTACTTTTATGTCATGCATCATTTGATTTACAATCCAAGTGTTTCCAGTTGATCTCGTGTCAATTCTGAATTCTGATATATGTTTCTTTGTAAAACATATGAGTCTTCTCGTCTCGTACGTACTTATCAGAAATGACCAGAAATATTTTCTTCATTATATAATTGACGTATTTTAACAGTTCGTGCCTTTTGGCCCTTTGTTATCTCAAATGCTCTGTTGTGGAAATGAATTAACCTTGATTTTTTCACAGGAACAGGTCGCGTCAGCGGAATTTTAAAATTTTTCCTTGAATAATTTTCTCTCGTGATCTACTCTAATTTTGAATTTTTCACAAATTTTGTTTATCTCCCATTCTAATGAGCAATTCTGTGTCGTACTTATTAATTAGAAAATTCCTTAATTATTTCCAAATACTTGCAGTGATGTACTGGAATATATTATTTTTTCATTCTATTATTTCTTTTCTGATTTATCGATTTATTTAAGAATGGTTGAATTTCTGTCATTATATTGTGATGACTGGCGATTGGTGTGTGTGTTATGAAGAAGCATTCGGAGTTTAGAAGTTCCGTTGTGAGTGAAATAAAATGATTATTTTTCCTGTATCAGTTCATTATCCTACAGCATTCCAGTACACTGTTTATTATAGCACGAGCAGCGTAGCATCTGCGCTTAATTAAGATGTACGCCTAGGGCCATACTTTCAAAATTCGCTAAATAAAAGTAAGTACTTACGCTCTATTTTCTTGTCTATGATTGGTGGATTTTGCTTGAAAGGCCGTCAATGATTGGCTGATGAACTTACGATCTCTAAGCTTTTTTTGAAAGTATAGTGAACGTAAGTACTTACGCGCTATTTTCTTGTCTATGATTGGTGGATTTTGCTTGAAAGGCCGTCAGTGATTGGCTGATGAACTTACGATCTCTTAACTTTTTTGAAAGTATAGGCCCTGGTGTGGCCTTTCGCCGCATGCAGAAATTGCAGAATTTTTACAGCTCGCTTTTACTCGCTACTTCAATGTTGATGATCCACTCAGCCTCGTCGAGCTAGCGTGAATGATACCGATTCTACCCAAGCCTATTTGATGAAGGGATTGGATGCCTCAAGTATCAATAACTTTGATTGGATATGTCAATTTATTAACCGTTTTGATCGTAGCTGACGTAATCTCAGCTCTTCTGAACATAATCACGTATAAAATATAGGTAACCACGACCAGTATGTACTGATAATATCACAAAAGTTTTATTAGTGACAGTATTTATTATTTGAGGAATTTGTCCTCTAGTGCTGTAATTTTTTGAGCGTGTGATAACTGATAGCTTAAATGAACATGATAATTTTTCCAAATTTTCATTCTGTTAATTCCTTGTGACTCAATTTATTTTGCTCACAATGCGTATCAGAATTTTTTACTCACCAATGTGAACTTTTGCTCCAAATGTTAAATAGGAATGTGTGTTTTTCACAATGTGAAAACTTGAACATAGTTTATCAACAAGTCATTTTTTAGCTGTTCAAAAGTCTATATAAAGTTGCCAAGTTTCTATATGAAACTCATATGATTTATTTATTATTTTAGTTCCAGGGAGAAAAGTTTTCTCTAGTCAAAGAAAAATTCTTCTTCATGGGGGTAACTATTGTAATATAATTCGTCATGTGAGTTGCGCAAGCCTCATTCTAATTTTAAATTTCCCCCGAAACTAAAATTCTGTTAGTCCAAGAGTTAAATTGTAAATTAATATAAGAGCGTTAGCGCTTTCCTTTATCCATAAACTAGTTTACATTCTGAATACAATAATGTTTTGAAATGGTCAACGAAAACGTGATAATGTAGACTGAGAGAAAACCTATATTGCAATGTTGGACCCTCACTGCCAGACTGCCCTTAACTCATGAGTAGTTCTTAAAGTTCCGCTGCACAAAACATGTTTCGATATTATAATTGTCCAAACTAATTTCTTATATAGCAAAAATTTATGAAAGAGTCAGATGTCTCAGCTGCAACATAAAAAAAAATTTAGGTGAAAGTATATGATGCTGTCTTGATCTGAGAGCATGAGCATAAATTGAAGGACAAGTGAATGAGTACCTAGCAACGTAGTAATTTCAAAGGCAATTGAATGCGCACTGCGCTGCTGAGAAAGCAAGTAAATGCGTTCATAGCAATATAACGCACAAGTGAATGCGTATGTGCTTACGTAACAACTCGATTGCCAAAGGAGTGAACGCAAAACAATTTTATCTCCACAAGGAAAAAAGATCGCACTTCAGTTAGAAATTTACTATCAGAGAACTGACGGCGAGCGTTATTCGTAATAGCAAGCTTTTTATTCCTTGAAGACATATTGGCTAACCTAAATCTTTCAGTTCGAGCTCCTACGCAGGATCAGGTGTTACAATAGGTAGTGTTTAGGGACACAGTTACAATGAAGTGTATAAAGGCACAATGTTACAGTGGTGAGTGTTTAGGGGCAAAAAATTACAGTGGTGAGTGTTGCGAAGCACAGTGTTATAGTGGTAAATGTTTAGGAGCACAATGTTGCTGTAGAGAGTGTAACGGCACAATGTAATAGTGGTGACTTGGGAAAGTTTAGTTCCTACAGTTGCTTTGCTGCAAAAAGTTCGGAAGTGAAGTTTAAGGTACAATAAGAATGTGTGTCGCGACACTAGAGTTGCATCGGTTATGTGGGAAGCAGTACTCGAGTTACTGGCGGCGAGAGCTGAAATGTTTTTACGCTCATGAGGTTGCCAGCCATGCGAGGTCAGCAAGAAGGCTGTTGTGTGTCTGTAGATCTTGGCAGCCGCTGCAGTCTGTTGCTCAAGGCAACACTGGCGCTGTCCTTGTCACCTGCACCAGGGAATTGAGGAACAAGGGCAGCCGACGCCGCCCGAGAATTTAGTTCTTATAAAATTTATATCCTGACCGACAAAGCTTTATGAATCAAGAAAACTCAATACATTGTTAACGCATGGAAGCCACCAAATTTAATTTATTACCAGATAATTTATCCCGATATATGGCCAATAAAAATATTTTAATTTCAAGCTATACTCAGGCAATCAAGATATACATACGGTCAAGTTGCTTTAGTTGAGACGATCTCATCATTTTCCGTACTTCTATTTTTATCATCTAGAAATAATTCAGGTATTGAGCTTCAAGGTAAAACAATTGGCCGTACTTTGCTTATTCACAAGCAGGGACAGCTTAGCGGAGCTGTTAATCGCGCTCATTAATTGCCCCAAACCCACGAGGTATGAGCCACGAGGCTCACCGCGCAGGTGTGAACAAATTATTTCTTTCTTTTCCTAAGACTTGTAATATTATTTTTCAAATAAAGTAATAAGTAAGAAAGCAATAATAAAGAATACAATAAGTAAATATTAATAAAGAATGCAATAAGCAAACAATATAAAGAACAGTGATGGTTCTTTATTTTAATAAAACCTTGATTGGGAAGTCCAATTGAGTAGATATGCAAAGAATCCAAGCATCTCTTGTGGTCGATTTAGTTGCTACGAGAAGCTTCCGACATCGAACACTTGGCGTTCTACTCGGAATTTTGTTAATGCATTGATCTGAGTTCATATAATTAAAAAAAAAATTCTGTCTTAAATTTATTACTTCGGGACAGAAACTGTGGAAATGTTAGCTCCATTCAACATTGAGAAGCTCTTAGCACAAGACTGACTACTCTGAGAACTGCGTTGTACGAGACACCTTCTACTCTGAGAACTGAGTGGCACAAGACTGGCTACTCTGAGAACTTAAAACTTTTCTACATTGATAACTGCGTTGTGCGAGTCACCTTCTGCTCTGAGAACTTAGATCCTTTCTACTCTGAGAAATACATTACATGAGACACCTACTACTCCGATAAGAGTGCATAGCAGAAGACTCTGTCTCGCGCACATTTGAGTCGACGTGCACCAGCTCGGTGACAGAAGACTGCAGTTCACGGCGGGCTAAAAAACTCCACGGATATAAAGACGCAAATTTAGTTTACTTCTGCAGGCCTTTCAAGATCTGTTCTTAGGACAGTAAGTGCGAACCTGCAGGTGCCATGTGCTGCTAAAAAGCTCCTATGGCCCGTGCTAATGAGGTTTTATGGCTCGTGCTAATGAGGTTTTATGGCTCGTGCTAATGAGTTTTTATGGCTCGTGCTAATGAGGTTTTATGGCTCGTGCTAACGAGGTTTTATGGCTCGTGCTAATGAGTTTTTATGGCTCGTGCTAATGAGGTTTTATGGCTCGTACTAATGAGCTTTTATGGCTCGTACTAATGAGCTTTTATGGCCAAAGCTGAATCACGTAACACTTCACCCATGTAACAATCGATTTCCGAACAGGAATTCGACCAGAAAAACGAATATGGAAACATGTACGGAGCTCATTGAGTGGCGATAATCCAATGGCCACTAGAAAAGTACGCCTCGACAGCAAGCGCACGCTGCTCACTTGTCCAATACATAGTGACAATTGACTAAGCGGAACAAAAAACGTCATGGCTTTTCCTTTTATATGAAATGTTCCCCTTCCTTTTCCTACAACATCTGACTGCTTGGCTCGGAATACAAAATAGGAAGTTTTTGCAAATCACTCACCATCACTCAGAGCTCCCAGAAAACACCTACCGCTTCTTGGTGATTCTTGCTGCCGTAGGTAGTCGAGTAGATGTACCATTGCCGGCCTCTACGTAACAGTAGAAGGGACCGGCCATGAACGGACATGCCGTTGCAAATAATTGCGAGAATTGTGAAGGTCGGAGCAAGGATCGTCTCTCATGCGGTAACTATTAATAAACTTATTTCATGCCCATTTTGTTGGTACTCGTGGCAAGCGATGCGTAGCCATGCGAACAGCGAAGCTCAGGTGCAGGGTACGTGTCAAATGCAGGTTGAAGCAAT